CCACCTTCCCAGCCCCAAAATGCTATTTTTAATAAGCTACAAATAGCTCTTTTCAGATGTATAAGTTCGCTTATGAATTCTTGAAATAGCTTTTGTTTGGTCTAGACAGAGAAAGAGTTCCAGTATCTTCTAGAACCATTAATGCATTACGATATTGAATTTTATATTTCTGTACTTTTTGCATGTCAGGCAACTACTTTATCACACTATTCGTAATGGTTTGAGAGAATCATCTTTTAGAGTATGACATAGCATGAGTAGATATTTATGAAATGATGTCACACTGTTGATTATAACAGGTAGATCTCTCTTTAAACCTTGTCTGCAATGTCTGGTTTTCCAGAAAATCTGAAGTTGCTGTGTCATAAATCAAGTCTGATTGGTAGCCTGAGTTTTATAAAAACACTGTGTGATGCAAGTCAAGGCCTAGGCGTAGGCTCTGCTCATGTGCTGCCTCTCGGTCAAGATCTTATGCTTATGTGAGAAGACTCTGCGATGAGGGCTAGTCAGCAACTCCTCCTTTCAGAAGAAATGAAAGGATGAAGGTCCATGCTAGAGAGTTCATTTTTATTCTTCTCAAACTATGCGCTGTGGTGTGGTGGTTCTCACCTGTGATCCCAGCACCTTGGAGACTGAGTCAGGAAGTTCACAATTCAAGGCCAGCTTGTGTTCCATAGCTCTCTCTCTCTCTCTCTCTCTCTCTCTCTCTCTCTCTCTCTCTCTCTCCCTCTCTGTGTCTGTGTGTGTGTGTGTGTGTGTGTGTGTGTGTGTGTGTGTGTGTGTGTAAAACAGTATAATCCTCATGACTACCTGACTACCAAGTGGAAAGGAAAGTTTCCATTCTCTGGGAAGGTCATGGGGGACGTGATGCTGAGTGACAGTCCTGGTGGCTGCTGGGCTGTCTCTCTCTCCACCTCCACCCCATGGAGCTCACAGGGAGGGATTACCTGGCTTTCCTTTCTCGCTGCTTTTCTGACCATGTCTTCCCAGCACAGGTTTTTGTTCCAAGAGACAAAGGGAAGTGTTGGCTGACAATGAGGTAAGCCATTTCCACAGATCTTCATTTATAAATGTGGTGATACTCTTGTCTCCTCTTCCTTTCTCAAAAAATAAAAAAAAATACTTTCTGAGGATGGCTTAGGAACAACAACAACAAAATCAAGATCCCTGCTAGGCTTTCTTTACATGTCACTTGAGATCAGAGTATGCTGGCGCTGCCCCAAGATAGGTCAAGGCTATGCATTTACGATGAAGTCTGTTTCTTCTTTGCTTAAACCTTATCTAAGAGAAAGAGCTCAACAAATGTCATCCTGCAGCACACTCATTTGATTTCGTTTCCACAGTGCCTCTTGACGAAATGCCTAAACACTCGTGATTTGGTTCATGCAAAGCCTTATTCACTACAGAGAAGGAAGATGAACCAACTTTCTTTTTTGTGTCAATAAGAAACTGAGAACTAATGCTGCCAAGTTAGAATCATCTCTAATGAGGCATGTGCGCTATTTGTTTGAGAGTAGAAAAGAAATTACTGTAGCTGTCATTTTAAATTAAGACGCACTCTAGAAATGGTATTAAATCTGTAGTATTGGGAGGAAGGTATTTAAAGGGGAAGATATTTGATTGTGAAATGTCAGATAAAGACACACAAGTTTCACTTGTTTATTTTTCTAAGCTCCTAAGGCAGCTTAGGAAATAGGTGCTTTTACCAAACCTTCTCAGCCTGGTGTTCTGTGAAGCTCATAGACAATAGGAGCTCACAGGGAGAAGGTGACCTTCAGGAAATGAGCAGGTCCCCTTAAAGTATTCTACCTGAGAAGAGAGAACATCTTTGTTTTAACATTACTGTCCACTTGCTGATACCACAATGACATTCTCTATAACTCCAGCCCCATCCCTAAGAAAATGACATGGATTTGAGTGAAAAGAGAAGGTGGCTTGAGAATAATCAGTTGATTCTGACTGGATCTATCAACTTCTCTTGTTAGAAATGTGGCAGAGGCCTGAAAGCTCTGCTAGTCTTTCTAGACTTTGAGAAAGAAATGCTTGTCTATTGTACCTGTACCTGTGATGACCTTTGATTGCTTTCTGGCTATGATTATACAAACTATCACATTGTAACTTGGGTCCTCTTAGAGAGGTAAAAAAGATGTACTTTACTGTCAGGCAAATGGGAAGCAACCATCAACACTAGCTGTAGGCTTGTCCAAGGTAAGTGACAGAGAACTACCATTGTCATGACTTGTCATTGTTCTCTTCCTACCACAATCAAGAAAACCAGGCATGCACTGCAGGCATAAGTGATAGTTACTTCTCTGTGTGTCATTGCTGAGCTGCGTAAACTGAGTGTCTTTGACCTCAGTTTTCTCGTCTGCAAAATGGTTACATGCTCCAGTCTATCTGTCCTACAAAGTGGTTATAACAGACACCAAAGGTAGACTCCCTTCTTTACCTGTGCTAGAAAAAAGGCAATGGACAGGTCTCACTGCCAAAGTGATAGGAAAATTGAGACCTTCATTCCATAAGGGGTGGAGGTGACCTATCTTCTTCATTACAAATATTACTTAAGGCACAGCAATTAGCCTTTTTGTGTCTCTGTTTCCTTGGTTACAGTTTGGCTGTGTTAGGACATTTTGAATATTATTTTCCTGTTTAGTCTGTGAGGTTCCTGTCTTCATTTTCTGTGTACCCTGCTACCTCTGAGATGCTTTCTTGATTCCCCAAAGAGGAGTGGCTGGAGCCATCACACACTGTGGGAAGGCCACCCACTCCCAAATCAGAGAAGCGCTCATTGTGATTCTTTTCTTTTCTCTTTCTTTTCTTTTCTTCCTTCTTTTCTTTCTTTCTTCCTTTCTTTCTTTCTCTTTCCTTTCTTCTGTTAATTTCTTTCTCACCTTCCTTTCTTCTTTCTTTTTCTTTCTTCCTCTTTTTCTTTCTCTCTCTCTTTCTCTCTCTGTTTCTCTATTTCTTTCCCAGAAACAGCATGTAGCAGCCTAATGGAATAAAATATCACCAGACCAAAGCATAATGAGGAGTAGAAGTCAAATTATTTTAGGAATTACTAAGACATTGTCCCTGGCCCCTCTGAAGTGCTGTGCATGACAATCAGTAGGGACAGCCCCTCCCTGGTGTCTCCCCACTTCCCAGCGTTCATTAGTGCTGCTCAGTGCTGACCACCACAGCAAAAGTCAGACTCAAAGAATCAGCTGCTTAATGAGATTTGGAGAACAGAAGGAAAAGACAAACACCAGCAAGTGTAGGAAGGGGTGACAAGGGGCAGCGTGGATGGCTCCCTATGAGCATTTTTACAACTGAAGCTACATTTTAAAGCACATGGCAAAAGGATCCTGTGCTTGCTGGAGGCAAGAAGAGCATTTTTTTTCTCCACTTGAAGAGCAAAATAGTTTCTACTTAGAGGTTCCTCTGTCCTCAGACTGCTTCCTTCCCAGAGGAAAGAAGTCTTCCTTTACTGGTTAAGAGGAAAGCATTTCCCCTCAGTGCCCCTTAGAATAAACACACAACACACACATTTTGATCCAACCTTTTACTTCACTGTGTTTTCATAACTATTGTCTTGTCAAAGAAAATGAGAAAAAACTATTTTCCAGATGAGAAAAGTAAAGCTCAAAAAATGTACATTGTAACATTGGGTGCCCAACTGCCCAAAGATGATTGGAAATTTGCATGGCAAACCTAAGTCAAACCTAAGTCTTGACAGCAAACATAATACCCTACCACTCAAGTAGGACAAAGGGTGAACCAATTCAGCAGTGATACTCACCAGATACTATGTTGGAAATGAACTATACAACTTGTAGGGGGAAGGGAAAAACTAGGAGAAAATGAGGGAGGAGTGACACTGCTCAAAAAAAAATGTACTCATTACCTGACTTACATAATCATAACCCCTCTGTACATCACCTTTACAATAAAATTTAAACTAAAAAATACTCTACTACTTAGACGAAATCCAAGTTCTTCTAAGTTAACAGTGTTTAACTTCTAAGTTCAAGGTGTTTCTTTTGAATACCCAAAGTATGTAAAGCAAACTACCTGGGTACATTTAAAGAAGAGAAATAGAGATAAATAGCTATTAATCTCAAGGAGTTAAAATTCACTGGCAATGCCTATAATGCTAGCTACTCAGGAGGCTGGGATCTGAGGATCCAGAATCAAACCCAGCCCAGGCAGAAAAGTCTATGAGATACTTATCTCCAATCAACCATTGAAAAGCCAAGAGTTGGAGCTGTGGTTCAAGTGATAGCATGCTAGTCTTGAGGAAAAAAAAACTCAGGGACAGCACCTAGGCTATGAGTACAAGCTTCTGTACTGGCATACAAAAATTACTTGAAAATTAACATATTCTAAATATTTGACAAAACCCACATGTGCTTGTTCAAAGATTCTCCACCAAGCGCTAGCAGGTGATTCCGGTCAGGTGTTAGGATAGTGGTCACAGGGTGCATGGAACTGGCTTTCTGGAAGAAGAAGGTTAATGTTTTGGGTTCTCCACATCTCTTGAAATCGCAGCAGCTGGACCCATCAGAACTGTGCTTTCCTTTCTGTTCTATCTGTAGGTACTTAGAGAAACCTGGCACCTTTATAATAAAATGGCACCTAGAGTGCTATGGAAAGAAAAAAAAAGCTCATTTTCAATAAGCATGACTTGTTTGGGGGGGAATCATTTCATATTTCCCTCTCCTTGGTAGGTTTGATCATTAACCTCACTGAAATAAAAATTAAACATTATATTGAAAAATGTGTTATTTTCTGAAAAATGCACTGACATGTCTATTTTTTTTATTTTTGCAGTCTCAATGGACACTTGACTTTGCTTTTCACTGGTTAATTGGAGAGAGGAGTCTTATGGATTTTCCTGCCCAGGTTGGCTTCAAATCTGGATCCTCAGCCTCCTGAGTAGCTAGGATTATAAGTGTGAGCCACCACTGCCCAGCTGACACATTGACTTCTAATCCCTGTACAGCCTTTCATTCTCCGTTAAGATGTCTGAGCCTGACCCTTTGTCTGGATCTGCAGGAAGCGTGGAAAACGGAACTTTCCTCGAGCTATTCCCCACATCGCTGTCCACGTCGGTAGACCCGTCCTCGGGCCACCTGTCCAATGTCTACATCTACGTGTCCATATTCCTCAGCCTTTTAGCATTTCTACTTCTGCTCTTAATCATTGCCCTCCAGAGGCTCAAAAATATCATCTCTTCCAGTTCTTCCTACCCAGAGTATCCAAGTGATGCAGGAAGTTCCTTCACCAATTTAGAAGTCTGTAGTATTTCCTCTCAGAGATCCACTTTCTCAAACCTTTCATCCTGAAAAGAATCTTTAAAGTGACAACAGCTTATTTTCCCTCCCCCCTGATGGAACTGCTACTTTATGGAAGAAAGGACCCTTTTGGTGTGTAGATCTGTATTCCTCCTTCGCTTTGATTTCTGGATGCTTCTCATTTGTGAAAGTAGAAATCAATGGTGACCGAAGCGTGAGAACGTTAGTGCTGAGAATTTTGCATCGATCCTTTGACAAATCAGAGGCTGGCTTCTTCTAAGTTGATCAGCACACATTGCTGGATACGACGAACTCAACTGAGGAAACTTCTTAAGGGAAGCTGGATGCAGACCTGTGTGTTTATTCTCTGTTACAAAACCTGTGAGACCAACGAGGCCAACCAAAACTGGCAAAATCAAGTTGGAGCTATTTAAGAGATATTTTCCATATTCAAACGTTAAAAAAGAAAAGGAACTCAGTTTAGATTTACTGTATAATATGTCTGAAACTACAAGTCAAATATGCTAATTTTTTTCTTTTCTAATTATGCTTTTGTTATCTCTAAATAGTTGTACAAAAAGGTTACCGTTGGATATGTCAGTCTATGCATCTTGTACAATGCATCTTGATCAATATCACCGCTTCCATCCTGTACCCCTTTCCCTCCCACTACCAACTGTCCCTCGATTTTCTAGCCTCATGGGGTAATTTGTTGAATATTATGACTGCAATCCCCCCTTCTGCTCTTCATTTAAATGTTTTCTTTAAGTTTCCTTTAAAACATGAAGATTTCATTTATCAATGAATAGAAGTCATTTGGAAGAGCTGGACTTTTGATTGCAAGACAAATGTGTGTCATGATGAACTCTATACAGTTTTTGTGTCTGCAGAGTTTTTTCTTCTACTTAGTTTAAGTCACAGTGATCCATGTGGAATGTTTTGCGCTATTACTAAACCAAAAAAAAAAGATAAACCACAGAAGGTTTTTATTTCATACCTGTAATTTCCATCAGCAGAAGGTATGCATAGGGGAAATGCTTGTTTCTTTGTATTTTAGGCAAGAATAACTCAGCAATCATGTACATCCTATATTCAGTTTCATCGTCTTTATAAGTTTAGAACAGAATTGCATTGTCTCCAATATACCATATGTTAGCTCATTCATACTAGGTTGCAAAATGCAGGGTTGAATTGCTGATATGTGTCTGTTTCTATACTCCATGAATGTTACATGTCTCTGATAGCAATGTTGTATGTTGACATCATATTTCACATTAGGGTTCTAGAATGTGAGTTTATGTCAAAAATTTCAGACATTCCAGTTGAGTAGGTACCAGAAGCTTCCACAATCCTAGGAGCAACCATACTGTAGCTAGCCAAGGCTGTCCATGAGTGTTGACACCCTTGGAACACAGACATGGAAATCTAGCTGCCCCTAAAACAAAGCAAAGAGATTATGCAGCATCTTAAGGGTAAGAATTTTCATTTAATTTTTTAATGAGTGGTCCAGACCATAAACACTGAACCTGTGGGAGCCACTATACTCATCAATATACCATAAAACACGATTGAATCACTCCCTACTCAAGACATTTAGTAATATCCTATGTGGTGGCATTAAAGCACATCCTTTGCATGTGTTGTGCCATCAGCATTTGCTAGATAGAATAGGAGAAAGAATTCACCATTTTTACAGGGTCTGTCTTAGTCAATCCAGAATGCTAAAAGAGATGAGAACTGGTAATGCACATCAGAAGCCATTTATTTCTTTTTATTGACTAGCCATCACACCTAAATTAGACCACATTTAACTACTTATATGCCAGAAACAACCCCAAACACTGTAAAAACAAGTGTATCATCTGTGGAAATAAAACAGCCTTTGCTACCATTTAAAGCATGACAATGGGTTAGAATATCAGCTATTTTAGATCATGATTAGCATTCTCTGAGTATATTTATGTATGCACATGTTTGTGTATCTATCAATATGTATATATTCTGTGTGCATATTCACATGCTCCCAGTTAATATTGTTGTGACAGCCATTCAGGATTAAGGCAGTCATTTTATAGTATCACTTTTGATCTTTGGTTATTCTTGTGCTATTTTGGTTATGGGGGAGGGAAAGCCATAAGTAAAGTAATATTAACACATAAATACACACAGCCAGACACCATTGGCTCATGCCTATAATCCTAGATACTCATGAGTCTGAGATCTGGGGATTATGGTTCAAAGTCAGCCCTGGAAAGAAAGTCCATGAGATTCTTATCTCCAATTAACTATCAAAAATCTGGAAATGGAACTGTGGCTCAAGCATAGAGTGCTGGCTTTGAGCAAAATATCCCCACAAAGCAGAACAATGTGATTACAATTTGTCCTAAAGGGTAGCTTTACATCCTTCCCTGCGGACTTCTGACAGCAAAACTACTTAAGTCAAAGCCAATCAAATCTGCAGGCATACTCTTGCCTCTCTCTCCCTGACACAAGATTCTTGCTCTCAACATTAAGTGGAGTAATGAGGATCCATATCCAAAGATGGAATAAAGGATTTTTCCCCATTACAAGTTGCCAAGGTAAGGGATTATACAACTAGAGATGAATTTGTGATGTTTAAAAAACTAGTTCAGAAAGATTGAAAGATGGCTTTATAAATAAAGAAGACTCCACTGAAAACCTGATTTCTTCTCTGATTTTTTCAGTAAAGTGATCAAGTCACTTTGCCTCAAGAGGGTATTTTTCCTAGGAGTTCTACATATACCTATGTCTTCACATTACATCTTAACATCACTATATCATACTGTACCTATACTATACTCTATAGATACTATATAACATATATCATTAAATCACATTATAGTTATTACTATAACAGATAGATGTAAATCTATAACTCCTTTTCTGTATGTCCTCTGTAACGCAGTAGCAGTAATGTGTGACTCAAATGATACCTTCCTCTCACCTCTACAAGTGAGTCTCATATTTCCCTGATGAAAAGAATCACTTAGGTGCTCAGAAGATATAGAGGCTCAGAGACTAGCCAAAGAGCTCCAGGAGCAGAGCCTGTGAATGGATACTTTAAATGAGGGCTCCAGGTAATGCTAAAGAGGAGGACCTAAGACCTCTTCTCTACAAATCTTTACAGGCAATGAGCAGCAAATACATCTGTCAAAATGTGTTTCTGGAGGAAAGGAGGTCCTGCCTCCAATTATTGAGCACCACCCCATCCCACACCCCAACCCATGACCCTTACTGCCACCCATCTCCTCTGTAATGGGGACTCCAGGCCATCCTTCTAGAAATGGAAAGCTTCTACCTCTTGAGGGATTCAGTGAAACAAGGCCACAAAACTCCACTTTCACAAAATGATGTTTCTGTAGCAGACCTGACTAGAGCATGAGGGGAATTTACACATTAAGGGAAGAAAATTGGCCTTGTATACTAAGGACAATTCCACAGTTGAAAGGAAATTAACACCACAACTTAAACATTTTCAAAGAAAAGTTCTAGTTTCTAGACTTGTTGCCTTGGTTTGAGGTCCTAACCAATACTACATTCCACCCTTCCATTCCTCATGACAAAATCCTTTGGGACCTGTTCCCATCAGAAGAACCTCTGCCTTCAGAGCCCAGGTAATTCTGGAGACATCTCTCAAGGCTGTTAAGTCTGAAGGGTGCTGGAGAGGAGTCTGCATCAAGAGCCCCAGGGGGGGCTCCCAGACCTGCTGTACCCAGCAACTGCCCCTCCTCACCCAGAGGACATGTGTGCTTTTCTTGATTCCTTGTTATCCAGTGGGTGGCTCTCAAAACCAAAACCAGATGCCAGGCACCAGTGGCTGATGCCTGTAATCCTGGCTACTCAGGAGGCAGTGATGGAGATCTAGTGATCACAGGCAGCCCAGGCAGGAGAGTCTGCTAAAACTCTTCTTTCCAGTTAACCAGCAAAAAGCCAGAAGTGAAGGTATAGCTTAAGTGGTAGAGTGCCCAACCTTGCATGGAAAAGCTAAGGGATGACACCTAGGCCCTGAGTTCAAGCCTCAGTGCCAGCACACACACACACACACACACACACACACACACACACACACACACACCACAAATCAAATGTATGTTTGTGTGCACATACCACAAATCAAATGTATGTTTGTGTGCATGTATGCACATGTATGTGTAAGTATGTGTACATACTCACAGAAACTCACTAATATACACTATTCTTGACACACAGAGAGAGACCCTCAAAGAAAAATAATAGCCTTCAATTTGAAGAGACATTTTCTTTTCAAAAGACATTTAACTCTTGCCTCAATGGAACCCTTCCTCCAATGGCAAAGTATACTACTTATCCCTCCTTCATTCTTTCATCTCAAGACCATTTCTAAGCAGTTGTCACTTCATAAGAGACATTTCCTATGATGACTGCTTTTTTATTGTAACAGAACCCACTAACCCCAGTAGTCACTTCTGACACTCCAGAGGCCTCAGCAACTCATGGAAAGCATGACTTTTCATTATCTTAAACTGGATCCATACTGAGATGGTGTTTACCATCCTGAACTCTATAAGGAGACATGACTCACAGGCATTTATTAACTAAATGATGACTGTCTTTGGCACACAGACATTGTTCTTGCCCTCAGAAACCTTATAATCTAGTGAAAAAAGATGCTCAGACACATTTTATGTAGAATTGTAATGGCAATTGGTATGAAGAAAATACAACCATGACACAATAAACAAAAGAAATTCACTTAAGATGTGGTGGCCAGGAAAACCCTTTCTCATGAGATCATATGGGAATACTCAAATGGGTCAGGAAGAATGTTGTCCGCAAAGAGAAAAGCATATTTAAATGTCCTGTAACAGGAAAGGCCTTAGCTCTTGTGAGCAGAAAAGTCAGGGTGTTCAGGTAAGATCATAAGGTTGAAAGGTAGGCCAGCACAGGTGACGTAGAGCCTGATAGGTATAGAAAGAGCTTTGTTTTTATTCTGAGCATCATGAGAATCCATTGAAGGACTTCAAGCAGGGAAGTTACATAACTGAATTTGT